CCTGGGGTGACGACGCTAACAAAGTACGTGACATTAAGAAGCACCTAAATTTGCGGCCACCGCATCTCCAACAAACCATGCCACTCCGCCGCGTAGCGGCGGCGAACGGCTAGTCTTACACACCTAGTGGAGTGTGTTGTCTGTCAGTCCGTCCGCGGCTAGGGTTAATTAATGTAACGCAAATGCGGGCGTTCTACTGGCTGCCGAGCGCAGCGAAGGCGGCCTCAATTCGCTAAAAAGCTGCCGAGCGCAGCGAAGGCGGCCCCCATTGGCTAAAACAGATATTATGTGCTGTACTTACTGTATGTGGACTACACATCGTACTTAAATGCACCGCCCCCAAAAAAATTTTTTTTTGGTCTCCCTTTTCCCCCGGGCGTTTCCCCACCCTCCCCCACAGAGGGGCTGCCTGTGTTACCCCTTATTAACCACAAAAAAAGGCGCCGCATGAGCACACACGTACTATATCGTCGTAGGAGCTGGAAAAAAATATACCCCGGGTGACTTATATTTCGGCCTCAATCGAAACTTAGTACTATGGATATATAATGATGTTTTAGGCTTCGTAGTACTGCTGTACTAATTTAACTTACAATATTATTTTTCATATTACTATTATCAAGCCATTTCATATTGTTGCTTGCAGTCATTTGTAGTAGTAGTACACAAATAATTATATCAGCGTTTAATAATAAATAGCAATTGTATTACTATTAATAATAATGTGAAAGCTTTAAAATATGACTATTGTGGCTTACACCCCTGCACACCACACTGCCTCCGGGAAAAAGTGTCATCTTCCTTTGTATTTGCGCGCGTAGTGTGCGACCTTCAGATATTCTGCAAACTTTCCAACAATATATGTAGCGTACATAAAAAAATGGGAACAGCTATTGTGTTTAAGGTAGCCGCGGATGCCACGTGACTAAGCAAGAGCACGAAGCCCGAAGGAACATCGACCCACTCTATGTAGACAATGGGATAGAAGAGCAGCACGAAGCACGAAAGATAGAAGCCTTAGGCGATGCAAACCGCGAAGTGTTTTACGTAGCGTGAAATATGGAAGTGCACGCAGCCATGAACAGGACAGAACCATAAGAATATGACGGGAGCGTACGGGCCACAGAAGGGAACTAAATCCATAGACACCTCAGCATGCTGAAAAGCACGGGCTACGAAAGAGCACGCACGCTCGAAGCCACGGTAGAACACGTAGCGGTAAGAGTGCACTAACAGCAATTCTCCGATAGCACCACGGTAGAGCACGGAGTACGGGTCGACGGACCAGGCATAAAGCCGCGGGAGACCATAAACGAGAAATCACCGAGTATTGGAGCACGATACCAGGGTGAAAACGGATCTCACTGGGGAGCGCGATACTACTGTAGATAACGAGAGCTTGGTAAAATACATCCTGTACCAACACACGAAACAACACCATCCTATCACCGACACAACAACGACCGGACACGCACACTCGCTACCCCGTCAAGTCCGCTTCCTATCAACCATGAAGATCCAAAGATCAGGCTCATGGGTCACGCTGATACTATGCGCTCACTGCTACCTCGGCTGCTGCGCTAACGACCGGTCGAATGCGGGGTCCAGCACCTAACAAGTGCTCAGGAGATTGCCGGGACGCGGACGGAGTCATATCAGCACACGCACATCACATCATCCACCCGCGCAGCAAGCGTTTGCTGTGCCTGTACATCCACATCTGCCCGCGCAATAAATGCAGTGCCCACCGCCTTGCGCAATTTTACATCAAATCAGATCCTTTGATTCGCTGAGTGTGGAACTAGACATAGGCTGTGCGAAACCAAGTTGCGAGCTGATGTGCTGCCGCACACCCTGTTCTCCCTCTGTCATTGTTGTTTATCTAGCACTACACGGAAACGCAACGTCTATTGCCCATATACATGCTGTTTTGACTCACTAACACCATCCTGAACAGCTGCTGTTGATGCGTACTACTGCGACCGAGTGGACGTATCTGTTTTCTATTTTGGTTGTCGCTTGGTCTTGGGAGCTCTGCACAAGTATTGCATATGCTTATAGATGCTTAGTGACCTTGCCACGCTGCTGCACCGAATATATAGTATATTTTTTCCCTTTCGTCGAGTGTTATGCTTCTCATCGGTGTGTGTGTGAGCTGAGGACGGGTGGATGGAATTCGTTAATATAGCGTACGCGAGTAAGCGAGTTGAGCAAAAAAGAAGGCGAGACTAGCAACAAGAGCAGTTGACCCGCGCTGGTGCACAACACACGAAGCGGTAGCAACAAGCACTGCAGTCGCGTGTGCTGGTCTCGAGACAGATGGGTTCAGAAGCAGCGTGGAAAAGGCATGCCTCCGCCCGGGATTGAACCGGGGACCTTCTGTTTACAAGACAGATGCTCTACCACTGAGCCACACAGGCGTAACTCTTCCTATTCACACTTACATCGTACACAAACTCAAACCACCAACTTCCACAAACGCTAACTACCAGCTTGTCACAAAACGCAGCTGCCACGTCACTAACGCACACACGCCAAAAACAGAACACAAAATAAAATACATCCTGTACCAACACACGAAACAACACCATCCTATCACCGACACAACAACGACCGGACACGCACACTCGCTACCCCGTCAAGTCCGCTTCCTATCAACCATGAAGCTCCAAAGATCAGGCTCATGGGTCACGCTGATACTATGCGCTCACTGCTACCTCGGCTGCTGCGCTAACGACCGGTCGAATGCGGGGTCCAACACCTAACAAGTGCTTAGGAGATTGCCGGGACGCGGACGGAGTAATAGTCAGCACACGCACATCACATCATCCACCCGCGCAGCAAGGA